ATATATATATATATATATATATATGGTCAATAAGTCATTGCAAAAGTGAGGGATTACATAATTTGGCCAACTATTGCGAATAGAGAAAAATGTAAAATTCATTTTCTTTTCTACAAGCACAGAGAGAACGTTGTTGTTCCCCTTTTCGAAAAACAATTAAACGATACCCCACTGAGGCTACAAAATTAGAATTCTCTTATACTTGATGGTAAATACGAAGAAACCGGACGCGATAGAAATAAGAAAAGCAGACTGGGATCTCTCGTTATCCTCATTATCCGTCTAGTGTAGAAAATAAAACGAGTGCATTCGATCAACAGCCTATGTTAATTCCGATCACGTGATCGAATCTATTAGCGTGACACGCGCATAATGCACACTACTGATTTGTCGTTTATTGGTTAACTGGTTAACAAGCGAGTGTCCAAAATACGACGAAAAAAATATCCATACGAACATTTCCAATCTGGAAATATTCCACCGGTGTCCGTCGACTTTCGATAACTTCCGATATCACTGGCATAATTTCAACGAGCCGACCTATTCGCACGTAACACATACCATTCCTTATCAATGGCAGGCTTTATTATAGAATCCTCCATCATATTCCTCTGTCCAATCATCGATTATTCAACATCGCGTCGATTAAAAAGGTTCCTTCACGTTCGAAGTGAAAAACTTGCCAGAATAAATTTCCCCTTTAATAACTTTCATAACTTTTCCGCTTCCTTAACTTTCGCAACATTCGTTCCGAGTAGCGTAAAATTAACTCGCACACGCACGATATCTCATTCATCGTTTTAAAATATCACGCTCGCCACATGGACTCGGAGAATGAACAAAAGTCGCAATTATTTGGTAACGTTGACATAGGGCCAACGACACACGTAAATCAATTTCAACGTCACGTTTACATAACAGCGTCAGAAAATTCGAAATACTAAATTTACTAAGGATTTTATTCGAGTGTTCTTTATTTTCGAATAATCTCGTCGGATTCGTAATTTCTCACATCGACGATCGAGAGATTTTATTACCCGGCCGTAAGAGGTGTAAAATTTTTTATTCAATCAACAATTCTGCAACACAGGACACTTCAATCATTCTCGATCTGCATCGAAATGCAACGCTAACATTTTTAACGAGGCGAGTGTTTCCAAGATAAATAATCCTTTTAATGTGCGAAAAGCAAGCACAACATCACATTTTTAACCAACCTGTTACTTTAAATATATACACGGTAAATAGTCGGGTCACGAGGAACTGAGTCAGTGAATTTTATTCGCTTCTCAGTGTGTTCAACAGATTCGCGAGTTCGAGCGCGATAATTATTCTCTTCGCTTCAGAGAGCACGTGACTCGAACGAAGAAAAAAAAAAAGAAAAAAATGACACAGACTTGTGATCATAAAGCGTTTCTAGAAGATCATTCCAGTTACTACTGTGTCGAAGAACTCGACAACTATAGTCTTGACGACTCGAACATCTCTAAAATCGCATTCGTTAGCTGGAGCTATTACTATATTATTACTTGATCGAAATTTTAATCCATCATTTTTTTCTTTTTTCTTTTTTTTTTTGGACATACAGAAGTATATATATTTCAATTTCACCAGGATTTGGATTAACCTCACAAATTATTACAAACGGAAGAGGAAAGAAAGAAATTTCTGGAAATTTAAGAATAACTTCTGCAATGTTAGGGATTGGATTTTTAGGTTTGGATTTTTAGGTTAGATTTTTTTTTTTTGGATATCCAGAAATATATATTTCAATTTCACCAGGATTTGGATTAATCTCACAAATTATTACAAACGGAAGAGGAAAGAAAGAAATTTCTGGAAATTTGAGAATAACTTGTGTAATGTTAGGCATTGGATTTTTAGGTTTGGATTTTTAGGTTAGATTTTTTTTTTTTTGGACATCCAGAAGTATATATATCAATTTTACCAGGATTTGGATTAACCTCACAAATTATTACAAATGGAAGAGGAAAGAAAGAAATTTCTGGAAATTTAAGAATAACTTGTGCAATGTTAGGGATTGGATTTTTAGGTTAGATTTTTTTTTTTTTTTGGACATCCAGAAGTATATATATCAATTTTACCAGGATTTGGATTAATCTCACAAATTATTACAAATGGAAGAGGAAAGAAAGAAATTTCTGGAAATTTGAGAATAACTTGTGCAATGTTAGGGATTGGATTTTTAGGTGGTTTAGGTTAGGTTATTTTTAGGTTTAGGTTATCGACACACTTATTTCACATCTGCAACAATAATTATTTTCCCACTGGAAAATTAAAATATTTAGATGATCAGCTACTTATCACGGATCAAAATTGACAGAACAACTTCTACCGATCGAAATTTACATCTGTCGAAGTATATATATGGAGAAAGTAGGAAGAAAATTGGCAAAACTGAATATGACAATTCGATCATTCGTATTTCTCGATTTTCGTGAAAATGGGAAAAGAAAATGTTTCGTTTTCGAAACCTTTGGAAACGAAGCAAAACGTAGTTGTGGCCAGCTACGAATTTCTTCGAACAATTTCAACAATTGATTCAGCAAATCAAGCAAATCACTTGTACCCACTTACGTTTTCGAATAACTTCGCCCTCGAATATGACACTACTGAGGAATATTTGAAAAGCAAAGAGACCCTGCACGGGCTCTTTTCAAACTGCTGATGTCATTACTATGATATGTACAATGTACAGCAGCATCGTCAAAGATTTACAGTTAGTCGTCACTTCGTTTCAGTTTCTTTCTAAAGCTACGATGATCGTTTTGGATATTTCGCGAAGCTCTCAAAACTCGATGAAATGGAAATCGGCAGCAAGCGGGAACAACAACCATTCTCTCGCGAACGCTGAACAATATAAAAATTAGACAACGTCTGACTACAAATATTTTTCAAATATTTTCTCGTGGAATGTGTACGACAGATAGAAGCCATCGAAGTGGAATCAAAGGTCATCACAGTGTGCCTGAAAAATGAATTACGCAAGCCAACGAAAATTTACACTTTCTAAACGTGCACTGTACGTACTCTGGCAGAATCTCAAAGAATAATCATAATTTAATTCCCTTTGTAATAATAAGTGATCGATATTAAGTCAAAAGCACGTTCGTAACAAAATATTTTATAAAAAAAATCTTTTTATTTATTTGTAAAATAAAGTATCAGGTGATAAATAAAGGCTTGTTTCGAATAAGCTATCGACAAGTATATTTATACAAATACTATGAAAAATAATGAGAAAGGGAGATATTCAAAAATTGGTTGAAAGAAGAATTTCTACAGTTGATCTAAATTTGATATATAATTATGAAGATAAGTTGATAAATATCTGCATAGTGTTTGTAACAACAATTATACAATATTTTTAAGAAAATTTATTTTCAATTTTAAATCTTTAAAATTTTAATTATAATTCGTTAAAAAGTATTTAAACATTTCATTATAAAAGTATTTATTTTAAGTTTTATTATTAATTTAATATTATATAATTTCAGCTTTAAATTTGTTTTAAAAAATTTCATTCCTATAATTAATACAAAATTTTTGCCACAGATGGGCGTGAAAACGTTGTGAACGGACCTGTACTATGAACGCGTGGCGATAGAATGAAAGTCATTGTTCGCAACGGAAGACAAGGAGAATACAAATGATTCTCGCCAGTAATAAAAATCTTGAACCGGAAACTTATTTCACGTCGATGGAAAACCATCAAATTCCGACGAAATGCATTCCTAACCTATATTTCAATAAATTTCTGCACGCACGTTTAACGTGCGTTTCGTTCATTTAGAACTGTAAAATGTATGTCGCTGAATCGAACGTGTGCTTTTTTTCAAATTTTCTTTGATCAAATACATTTTTGTAATTTTCATCCAGCGTCATTTCCATTGATGTTTATAGATATCAAAATACAAATTAAACACTTGACGATACAACATCTGTCGATGTATACTTATCGTCGAGTGACTTTCGTATTAAATTGAAATGAAATGTAAAGAGAAAAAAAAAATGAGATCTACGTTCTCAAAGACATCTTTTCCCTACACTTTCGAATCATTTTTTTTTCCCCAAGTAGAATCTACCCCCTCCCCCCGGTTGCGCCACGATCGCTGAATCAGCCTATAGAACTGAAAAGTCTGTGAGTAAAAGTGGACGCTTACCAAAGAAAATATCTTGGAGCAGAAGATCAATCCATTTGGACAAAGCGAGTTCTGGCCGACATGCAGTTTACACGGATGCCTTCACGATTCCTTTCGGAGCATGGGAAAACTGTCAAACAACTCCGTGCCAAGCACTCGAAAGAAACTTTGGTAATCTGACGCACCACTTACATGTTTTCGGCGCGAGAGTGTTTCAGCTCGAGCTGGTTTTAGGCTGAGGTTATGTTTTGGGAAAAAATTTCGCGAGACTTGGCGCGCGTTATAACCCCGCCTAAAGCTGCCTATATACTTTGATTGATATAAACTGCAGCGTGGAAAATCATCGCGAAACGAACGTGGCTTCTCAGCTGGACGAACTGAAGCGAATTGCGAAAGATCGACGAAGCAAATCGTGGCTTACCTCGTCCCAGCCGAGCTCTCCCGAGTCACCGGCCGCTGTGATTGGCCCATTTCCCCCCTGGTTCACTCAACCAAATCCCGTATTTCTATCCCCTCTCTTTTTCTCTCTCTCTCTCACACACACACGCAACGATTCAAAAGTAACAAGTAACAAGTAACGAGCGAGTAACACGGCGGGCTAGCGATGGGATAGACGATTGATAACGATGATCGAACAATTCACGAAAATATTCCAATCACTTGGCGGGAAACACGTTTTCATAATTCGTAATGCGCGCAACATTTCGGCAAAAGCATTTCCAAGTTTCGTCAATCCGAGACCGAACAGTGGCAAACCTAACCCCACCTAAACCCATTCGCGTAGAATTAACGAGTGAGACTCGTGGTGTATTTTTTCTGGCAATAACATGCATCAACGTGTGCAAGTTTTGGCAGTCGTAATAAAGCTGTGTTGCATCGCGACTGATTTCAAATAATAATTTATTCTATATAATTACGAAAATACGTTTCGCCGTTTATTAATTAATCACGAAATAATTTCGTTTGTAATTAAGCACGGGCAGGCGTAGAAATGATTTGGAAAAGTGTAGCGATAGCGACAGCTGACGAACAGATTTCTCTTCAAAGGCAGAAAATACGTTTCAGGCGTGTGTCTTTCGTAGATGATTCTGATGAGGATGCAATAAAAACAACTGGAACTTGGACGAGCGAAAGTAACGCTGA